CAATTTTTTTTACCCCCATGAGTAAATTCCTTAACCCCTTGGGGAACCTTTTTTTTTTTGGTTGTTTATTTATTTATTTTTGAACAGAATGCGTGGCATGTTGGCAGCTGCAGCAGGAGCATCACTGGGAGCTGTTGTCTACTTTTGGGCTGCGGGCGTTCAGTTTGGGCGCCTTCTTGGCAGCAGCCCCGTGGAGGAGCATAACGGCTCACGATTCACTGGCCACTAATTGGAAAATGTCACTCCGCGGCACGCGCTCGTATGAATCCGACTGCCGTAAAGATGTACACATAAGCACAAACACCTAACCCTCGCCTCCGCGATCTGCACGGACACCGTGCGCAGGAGATGAGGAGAAATGAAAGCTCTCGTCAGTAATTGATTCTCAGCTACTCACTACAAATGGGTCCTGACAGCTAATTTACCTTCAGCAGATTAAACGTGAACATTATGAGCTGCTAAGGCGTTCGCACTGCAGCTACTCCAACTGTTGCAACAACTTCCTGTTCTGTATTTCCAGCACTTCAAATTTCTGCAGGCCTCCACTGTACCAAATGTGTATTTTGGAAACAGACGTTCATAATAAGATATTGATATTTGAGTATTATATAATAACATCTGCTGATGGTCAGTATCAGTGTTTATGTGGTGGGCTCATTTCTACATCACAGTGGTCCAAACTGTGGGCTCTTGGGCCAATCTTTGCCCGTATCTATGTTAATTGTGGCTGTAATTTTCCAGGAAAAAAAGTTAAAATTTTAGAAAATAAGGAATAAACAGTTTAAACAAGGCTTTCTGTTAAACATGATTTGGTATAAAAAATATCATTTAATTATTCAAATTTTTTAAAACTTATTTTTTAACTTTTTTATAACTGTTTTCCAGTTGTGTGTTTGTCAAAACCTAAAAAAAATATTCTTCATATATTATTAATTCTTTGACTAGTAGTTGGGTTAGTAATGGTAATTAATTTTCAAAACCAAAATTGTTTTACTCATATGACACTTGGCCAAAATAATTTTGTGTATTTAATACTACACTGATGGGTTTGGGTTTATTCTTTCATTTATTTCCAACTGTCCCCAAGTATTGATCAACTGTCTCTATTTTTCTTCATTTTAATTTTCCTCTTTTTTTTTAATCTCTGTCTCGTTTGGAAGACGTGTGACCCTTTATCTGACTCCCACTAAATTAATAACTTCTACTATCCTCTTTTATTTAATGTCGCTGCAGGCGGGTCACAAAAAGTCTGTGTTTATAAGAATAATGACCCGTCAACGTTCACAGAGTTTGTTTGTAGCAGTAATGACGTGATGAATACAAGGAAAGTGTTAATATAAGAAGTGAACTTTGTTAAACACGCCTGGACAATTGCGTATGTGTGAGTCAGGGAATGTTACTTTAAAATTCACACATTACCATGAGTCAGTCCTGGTCGTCAATGACGCCGTTTGTCCACGTGTGGTCCCGTCACATTTTTCCCTCAGCGTCGTTGTTGTTTGACTTTCCTTGTCCTCCTGGATCTTCTGAACCCCGGTCCCTGCACCACTTTATAATTGCTGCATTGATTTGCCTCAAACTTGGTCAGAGCCACGCATGTCTGTGGAGACATTGATCCAATTAGACGTCTTCATTAGCCGGCCGTTGTTGGCCGTGCGAAGTGCAGTGTCATGCTGGAGGAATGGAGTTCCTGGCACTGCCTTTTTTTTTTTTTCTATTCTTCAGGAACACAATGAGAAGCCTTGTCTGAATTTCCAAAACAAAGAGTTGATTTTTCAACTCCTTCAGCAGAATAGTCAAACCTAATACAGAAGGCTGAAAAGTTGATTTTTTTTTTTAACCAATGTCAAAGGGAGAGTGTGCTGGGAAAATAATGAGCAACGATGCTGTAAATGTTGAATCACTTCGTCTTTGACTGGAGGAGGTAACAAAATCCTTAGACCAAGTATTTCACCAAAACAATGAACACATGTAGAGTTGTCGAAAAATCACACCTGATCTCCTCAAGTTAGAAGGAGTTTCAAACGGATGAAGACAGACGGGCAGGGTTGACTCAAGAACACCTATGAGCAGTGACCTAACCCTTTGTGGACTGTGGGAGGAAACTGTAAAGTCCACATGGTCACACCGTTCAGTACCACCGGACTTCAAATCACTGACCTACTGCGTGGAGCATAAATGACTCTCAAACTTCTTGAATAATAAATATATGCGTTCTAATCGTGATTTAGAAACTCTGCCCCGTGTTTATAAATATGCGTTCTAATCGTGATTTAGAAACACCTAGAAGCACTTGTACAATAGAAATACTTCAATCTTAATCGCTGCTTTGTTACTTAGTGCTTTGTGTAATTAAACATCCGATCCTTTTAGATTTTACATCAGTACCGATTTTAATTTCCTCCTTCTGCAGAATGTCTGTGCACTGCTGGAAACTTTCCCTTTGCAGCAATTAATTACGTTGTTAACAATTTTTTTTTTTTATTTCAGAGACATGAGTCGGCATACAGAGCACATCATCAAGTCGGCACACGGCACCGCTGGGATCATGGATTACTGTGCTGGTGAATGAGGAGTCGGGGGCAGCAGAGAGCAGCAGAGCAGACCGGTGACACCTCCGTCAGAGGACATGCACTGGTGGGCAGTAAAAGTGGGCCGGCCCGGCCTTTTGGCCGTGCTGATGTTCCTCTCGGTGATTCCTGGCGGAGTGATGCTGGGCTGCAGTCATGAAGGTCTGGAAGCCCCTCACTTCGCCCGGGGGTGCACTCATCTGCACCGGCGCCTGAAGAGAGGCTGGATCTGGAAGCAGCTGTTTGTCCCCGAGGAAGATCCCACTCCCCGTGTGATTGGCCAGGTACGGGCTGCGGATTGAACGACCGCCATGTCCTTGATGTGGTGATTTCACTCTGCAAAACATGGTGGAAATGGAAGTGTTTAATAAGGCCGCACGGTGGGGGAGCGGTCTGTTCTGTTGGCCCAGGGCAGGAAATGGTTGTGGAGAGTCAGAATTCTTACTTGTATCTAAAATTCAAATCATGTCACTTCAGTGATTTTGTGATTTGTTTCCAGATGTTTTACATTAGTTACTTTTATTTTTATTTTCACTGAACTCTTTATTTAATTTAAAAACATAATACCATTTTGATTCTTTTGAAATTTACAATTACATGAGGGTTAAAAACTTAATATTGAACTTTTTTTCCACCAAATTTTTGACTTCCATCTCAAAAATCTAAAAAATAACTTTTTATCTCCTGTGTCTCATCTCCTTCCTTTCTCCTCTTTGCAGATCAGATCTGATTCTGACCGAGGTGAGTCTTCTATCAAGTACATATTATCAGGTGAAGGCGCTGGTGAGGTGTTTCAGATCGACGAGCATTCCGGAGAGATCCGGACCCTGAAGAGTCTGGATCGGGAGGAGAAGGCCTTTTATGTCCTTCAGGCCCAGGCCATTAACAGGTGGACCAATGAACCGGAGGAGCCTCAGTCTGAGTTCATCATCAAGGTGCAGGACATCAACGACAACCCGCCGCAGTTCCAGAATGAACCGTATGTGTCCAGCATCCCGGAGATGTCTCCGATCGGTGAGTCTGCGGAAACCTGCAGGGAATGATTGTCTTAAAACTTAGAGCTGTCGCTCTGGGAATTAAATTTAGATTCGATCTGGGAGGGTATGTTTGCCCAAATCCCCAACAAAAACAAAGATAAACAGAAACGGTGATCGGCCGAGGCCTTCGTCACATCTTTGACGTGACTCAGATAGAAACGCAGAGATAAATGAAATTTAATTTGTGGTACAAACAGCTATAAAAGGTGACATTTTTTAAATATTCAGCAGACAGACAGTGTCCTTCCAGAGTCCTGTTGATGTTGATTCATAGTTTTGCTGTAAACGGCCTTCACTTGGAACACGTTGCCTATGAAACTGAATTGTCCTCCTATAACCAGCCGACATCAAACTGTGAGATTTAAAAAAAATTATATTTTATACACATTCTGACGAGATCTTCTCTGCTCCTGATGCCCTTCATATATTTAGATCAGGACACAAACTATTAGAAGAGCACTTTTTAAGATGTTTCTACATTATGTAGGACAATATTTAGCCAGCCTGGTGGCTAACATTAGCAATATTTATTTTATTTTGATATTCTGTTCTGAAACTCCTGCTATCTGGATGTTAGCTCAGTATAATTCTCATCATTTCAAAGTGCTTTTTCCTTTTTTTTCTTAAATTTCTTGGCTTTTTTAAATGGCATGTCCCTTCTTTGTGAGAGTCGAGTGAAGCTTCTATTAAGGTTGAGCAAATGTTGCTTGTGTAGCGCTTTCCAGTGGTTTTAAGATATTAAAGTAGCGTATAAGGATAACATATTCCAATAATAAAATGTATACATTAAGATTACCTTCTGCTGTGTCCAGAGAAGTGCCTAAAGATGGAATGTTTTGGCTCATAAATATTTAAATTCAAACTTTTCAGACATATAACTTCCTTTTCAATAAGGCAGAGGAGGAAGTTAAAAAGTATTTGATTCTGCGTCACCGCCGCTCACACTGCCTCTGTGGCTAAATGTTGTCTCTCAATAATGTTATCATAAGCGCAGAAATTACCATTTCAATTTCTGTGTAATCTGCTTTGGTGGCGTAAATATCTCACTGGCAATAAACCCTGATGTGTTTGACTTTGAAGGTGAAAAAAAAAAGTGAGAGGGCGAAGGTCAGGGGTGAGAATGACAATCAGAAACGCTGTAGTAAATCTGTGTGAAAGACACACACACACACACACACACACACTCCCTCAGGGACCAAAGGAGAGATGAGGAAGATGATACAAGCTGGAAGAAATGGGAGTAAATGTGAAAAGATGGAGGAGGAGAATCAGGGTGTGAAGGAGACAGAGAAGGAGGGTCAGGTGCACAGAGACGGAGACGTGGCCGAAGGGTTGGAGAGGTTGTCACGGAAACACCTGCTGCAACATCCCAGATTCCCTCACATCCACCACCACACACATACAACCAAGACAACATCCACACTCTCTCCTGCGGTGCCAGACAGACAGATAGATAGTAGAACCCTGAGGGAAATGTGGAACAATCACTTTATCTCCCTGTGGACGAAGTCTGCAGCCACACCTCACTCCTCCTCCTCCTCCTCCTCTTCCTCCTCCTCATACGTTCCTCTCTGTGCAGGAACCACTGTAGCTCGGGTGACGGCCACTGATGCAGACGATCCCATGTTTGGGAACAACGCCAAGCTTATCTACTCCCTCCTGCAGGGGGAGCCGTACTTCTCTGTAGAGCCAAAAACAGGTAAGAAGGCAAAAGTTTAACACTTGCAGGGAAACTAGAACAGTACGTTGTGAAACTCAAATTGTAAAAAAAAAACAGGTTGGATTCTGATTTTAAAAAATGTTTATTTTTGTCCACAACTGTCAAATCAAAAACTATAACAAGACAAAATGCTCCGACAAAGAAATGTCCAAATCTTTCCGGAGGTGAGTGTTCTCACTGCTTTAAAAATAATAAAGTCAGAAACCTTTGGACGTTCTATCATCTGTCTTAGAACTATTTGACTGACGGCAGAGTGAAGTCTGAAAAACTTTCCATTTCCATTGAAACCCAGGATAAATCAGTGATTATAAACAAGCCTTTCAGGACATGAACACATCAATCTACCGGATCAATCCAAACTAATCCGCTTAAATCAAACTCACTCCTGTTGACTTTGGCCAGACAGAGGAAGCATTAAGTCATTGAAAGCTCTTTTCTTTCCGTGCTGATTAAATCTGCATACTTCAACTTTATTGCAGTGCTGTTTTATTACACGGCATGTGCAGCCTCTCAGAAACCACTTCAGGCAAAACCTTTTCTTTTCTTGCATTTGGTTTTTTATAACAGAAGAAACTCGGCCAAATGTAATGAGCTTTAATGAGCTCCTTCTCCGTCTTCTCCACCTACAGGTATCATTGAAACGTCGATGCCCAATATGGACCGTGAAGCCCGGGAGCAGTACCTGGTGGTGGTGCAGGTGAAGGACATGCTGGGTCTCAGTGGAGGTTACTCCGCGTCCACCACGGTCACGGTCAGCCTCACCGACGTCAACGACAACGGACCCACGTTTCAGCACCGTGAGTAGGAGAACAAGACCAACGTTAAAGGGGGCGACGTGGAGAAGTTAGGAGGTCACAGGACAGATGCTACATACACCCATCCATCCATTCATCCATCCATCCAACCATCCATCCATCCATCCATCCATCCATCCATTCATCCAATTCAATTTATCTCTGCTTTTTTATTTAAATCCACTTTCCAGTTTTGATTTTCAAATCCCTCTTCTTTTTAAAGACTGAACCGGCATGGTGTCGTCGAGTTTTGCGTTTTTTTTTTTTCTCCTTTCTTCCTTCCAAAACATTTTACTGTTTTTTTTTTCATTTTACTTTTTTTTCTCTCCTTCCTCCGTATCTGCAAATTTGCATGAAATATAAACTCCACCTTTTCACAAAGTCCAACACTGTGTCCCGACCCACTGCAGGTCTTCACAGTGAGTCACTTATGATTATTGCATACCACACACACACAAACACACACACACACACTCATTCAGAAAATCAATGAGAGACCACAGAGCGTTACAGGCTGCGAGGACATGTTTAATATTATACCTGGGAGCTACTTATTCGATTATGCTTCTCCTGTTTGGCTGAGTGCTTCGCGCTGCCAGCGTTACATTGGACGGCACACGTCTTGTTATTGAGTCGACGGAGCTCAAATAGGAAAAGTGAAAAATGAAAGACAAACAAAAAGAAGATGCAGCCACATGGATGCACGTGCACTTCCACATACAGCGCACGTGCACATGAGCAAATTTAATCATTCACACCCAAAAGGACATTTGTCATGACCTTTCCTATCAAACCGGGCCCCTCCCCCCTCAGTGATAGACCCCGCTGAAGGAACGTCAGGGGTAGAAATCAATTCTGCAAAAAAAAAAAAAAACAGACAGAGGCAGAAACTTCATACTAATAATGTCACATTCACATTAAGGCGCTACTGTATCACGTGGAGTACTCATAAATACTGCACGACCACACTGGAGCGTCACCTCTGCCCTGGCGATGGCAGTCGTCCAAATGGAGTCGTTTGAAGACACACAATCACATTTTCTCATCTCCCTATTAGAGTTAGCCTGGGATTATGTGGACTTGGCCCTTAACTTATCGCACAAATTGACAATTCGCCACAATGTCCTCCGCTCTTATCTCGTTACAGACTAGCCAACGTTCTCCCACAGCTATTACCCAGTGACTGTCATGCGCTGTAGGCACGGTTTTAATGATCGGACCCGGCTTTATCTGTGCCTCTCCAAATGTAGGTTATCATTTTTAGACCAGGTATTTGTTAACGCGGCGATGCTGCACTTCACCTCCATCCTTCGCAGATTTGTACACCTTCATCGTTCCTGAAAACGCAGCCGTGGGCACCACAGTGGGACGGATTATGGCAGAAGATGCTGACGTTGGCGTCAATGCCAAAATGACCTACACCCTGAACGAGGATCTGGAGGGCAGCTCCACCTTCACCATTACGACAGACCCAGTGACTCAGGAGGGCGTGGTCGTGCTCGCCCAGGTAGATGTGGAGGTCACACCTGTAAACATCTCAACTAAAAAACAAACTGTTATTCAATTAATACAAATACTATTTATATAATTGTTAGCAAGCAAAATTTAAAGAGACAAGATCATCCACTAGTGTACAACAGCAGGCCCCCAGGCCAGACTTTGAACACCAGTGGTACTTTTGCACAGGGATTATGTCAACATAAATGGTAAATAAAATCCAATAGTCTAAAAGTTATTATCAACATCAGGATTGTCCCTTTAATCTGAACATGGCAGTAATCAAGGCTAAAGTTACATGAACCTTGGTCAAAGTTTACTAACCCTTTGGTTTATTTTTTATAATGCTAACCCTTTGGTTTAATTTTTTAAAATGATGCCATTAGACAAAAAATTTAATTAGTTTCCTAAACATAATCAGCCAAACTGGACAAAAGTTAAATACACAAAATGCCTTTTTAATTAAACGGCTTTGTTTCATACTTTTCTTTTTAACATTGGAGTCTTTTACAGGCAAATCATTTCTGGACACAGACATTTTTTCCCTCGGCATAGTTAGCATTATAAACGTTAAGGTCACGCCATTGTGTGATAAAATGTCAGTACAACTGCCAGAAAGTAATTTGAACCATGAAATAATAGAAGGAAGTGATCATCACTCTCACCTGAGTTTTTCAAGATATATTTTCACACATTTTTAAATAATTTGTAAAAATGAGTCACTGATTGAAACAGAACCGATGGTGGAGTAAAGGAATGAAATGACTGGGAAGTTAACTCACATTATGATTTGAAAAAAAAGATTATAAAGTTAGTGATCAGATATTCTTGAGCTTCAAAACCTTAACGGGACTTTTTCTCTTCAGACTCGAGGTTTCATACTTTCCCACCGTATTCTATGCTTCTCACGGGAGATTTCAATTTAGATGATAATGAAATAACAAGGAACAACGTTACAGGCTGTGTCTTCGACTTGTTTTTTTTTTTGTTTGGGGGGGGCAGCTGGTGGTTTGCACGCTGTTTTCTTATTATGAACTTTGTAACTTTTAATGAAGTGAAAATGCAGCTTCATCTAAGTAGATGTTCAAAGTTTGAAATCTGCTGACATTGACTGAAGGATGTTCAAATCGTGTCTAGGTTTGAAACTTTATTAAAAAAAAAAAGGAAAAACTATACAAAATATTTCCAAAAAATTACAGTCTATGCAGATGATACCCCTTGGATGTGTTGAAAAATATTTGCATAAAAGTAAAAAATAAATAACCTGTTTTTTAATTACAATTTTAGTTTTAATTAGAAATACATTTTCCCTCCTTTTTTTCTGCCTGTCACAGCGACCGCAGAAATGTTAACCTAATAAATGTTCTCTCCTTCCGTAGCCTTTGGACTATGAAACAAAGAGACGCTATGTCATGGCTGCGGAGGCCGTCAACGATCACATTGACACCCGTTTCCTGAGTCTGGACGATTTCACGGACAGGACGACACTCAAGATCATTGTGCAGGATGTGGACGAGCCGCCCGTCTTCCTGTCACCGTTTTACGAATGGAAAGTTCCAGAGAACGCGGCAGTGGGTACCGTGCTCGGCAGCGTCAGCGCCCGAGACACCGACGGGGTCAGCAATACAATCAGGTAACGTGAAACACTTCAGATGTCATGACCAGTAGGTGGACAACAGGGCTGGTGAATCTGGTAGCAGCTGGAGGTGAGAGGGAACGCCTCCAGACACCCGGGGAGAGACAGTTTCCTCGACAGGGTGAAAAATCATTCCATTTCCAATAGTTGTGCTGCCTGGATGCAGCCATTTTTACCCTTGATCTCTGGATACCCCCAACATTGTCGTATTTATCTCATATTACTTTAGTAGGAAATGAGACTCGGCTGAATAAATCATGAAGATCCCCTCCCGCCCCCCATACCTCACATGTTTTCTATCTTTCACCATGGTATTATCACAAGCCGACGTGGGATGAGGACGTGGGAATGTAATAAAGCACCACACAGGGTGGCGTGTAGAATTGAGATTTGTAGTCATTTGTACGTGGGGCACGTTGCAGGGGAGACAGCAGCGCCGCTGATGTCTGTAGTCCATCTCTGCACAGCTTACGGAGTGGCAGGTGCTGCATATCATCCCCATCCTGGCATCTATTACAGTGCCTTTGGTGACAGAGTCTCATTGATTAATAAATTCAGCCTGACATTTTAGGGCCTTTTTGCTTCAGTTGGAGCAAATATGATTAAGATTGCTTTGGTCAAATTGGTTTATTCTGCAGAGCGGCCCGGTAGAACAGGGTTTTCCCTCTAATTCAGCGTGGATTTACGATCACTTGTATCAACAGTCAGCCAATGTTTTTTTTTATAAAGATTCCGGTTCGCCTCTTCTGCCTATGATATATTAAAGGTGCAAATTGTCACATTCAGCCTCACAAAATGTCAGGAGACAAACATTAGCCGAGTAAATTATTGATATCCTGAACACAGAGAGAGCTTCTCTGGTTAATGTTATTGTGCCGTTCCTTTTGTCGCCAGTCGGCCATTTTCCATTTGCGTCGTGCATTGTGTTCTGCATTCTGATTGGCTAAAAAGTCACTCCGCTTCTTCTCTACCTGTGCGCCAATAACGTTGCGGTTTAATATGTACACGTACGTAAAACAGCTTGCCAAATTGACATTACGTACGTGCAAATTCTCTTGCAATTTCGAGTTTATCAAACCCCATAATGTCGACAAAACGCTCTGGACCGGCAAGAGTACCTGCGGTAGGGACCAAAAGGCAGCGGAAGATGCTGTCTATCGGTGATAAAGTAAAACTATTGGACATGCTAAATGAAGCTAAAAGCTATGCGGCTGTAGGTCGGCATTATGGAATTAATGAATCTTCCGTTCGTTTGTGAAACAAATGGTTGAGACTGTAAAATGGTTTGTTCGTTCTTTCTCTTCTTTTTCTGAGTATTTAATTGTAAAAAAACGTTCTCTTCTTAACGTAACCCCCCGCGAACCCCCGCGAAAAACAAGGGTTTACTGTATACAGCTTTGACACTGGGGTAGTTACCGTTTGAATTATGAAGTCATGGGACACAGACTAAACTTTCAGTTTCAGCCCAGATTCTTCTGATTTGATTAAAAAAATTTCAGAAAAGTTTGTACACTCGTTAAAAAGTGGCGTGAAAACTCATATCTGTATTGTTCAGTTTTTAACTGGACTTCCTGTTGTTTGAATCAGTGTAGTTTTAATAAATGTGTGACTCAAACCACTGAAAACTGACGGTGGAGCAGATGAAGTCTTTAATAAGGAATGGTCCAATTTTTCTATATAAAGTTATGCTGCCACGTATTTCCACGTATGCAGATGATCTTTTAATGTATTAATGACCACGTGCCATATCATTCATTCATCTATAATCTGATCATGTTACATGGGAAAGATTGGCTAAAAGTTCCTAAACCTCTGCACCATCTAAGGTGACAGTGAACAGACACTTTTTTCTGTTTTTTTTTTTTTTTTTTTTTTATTTTTATTAAAAATCTAAAAAGTCTGTGACCAGATTTAAAACAACATTCAATTAAAAATAATAAAAAAACACAGAATGTTTTTATTCATTTGCCATCTGTTGTTTTTTTCAGTGTTGTTGCTGTCACACTGGTGCCTGCGCCTGTTACTCTCTTTGTTGGATATCTGACAACAAATTTAAAAAATTGAGCATTTTGCCTAATTAATCTCCCTGTGGCATTGCAATGTTTTTGTCTGGCCCAGAAAACGGCCTTGCCTGCTAAATGTGTGATGTTTCCCTCCTCAGATATGCATTCGACAAAAGGAGCGATAACACGAAAGCTTTCAGAATAGACCCGAACAACGGAACCATCACTGTTGTCAGAACTCTGGACCGAGAGACGGCAGACTGGCACAATGTGACGGTGGAAGCCAAGGAAACATGTGAGAAGGACTTTATCTTCCTCTTCCTCAGCCTTTGAGTTCAAACTATAGGTGTGCTACATGCTAATTCAAGTGTTTAAGGTGGTTAAACCATGACCTCGCACATTTCCTTAGTTGTTGTTTTTCCTATAAAAAGTCTTGTGGACGTTTAGTTGTTGTCTCCCGGGACACTTGTTCCACAGAAGGCAATGTTTGGGTTTTTTTAATTGCTGATTTTCCAGCTATTTTTTAAAAATCATTCTGTATTGACTCAAGGTCAATTTCTTCACTGTTTTAAATCCATCATATTTTTGATGATCATTTGCGAGTATTGACTTATCCCGCAATACTTTTTATGTAAATCTATGACTAATTCATCTCAG